GGCTGCGACTGCGGCTGCGTGCTGGTTGGGGGGCGCCTGCGCCGGCTTCCTGCTCCTTGGCCCCCTGCCTTCGCTTCTGCAAAAGATCTGCCTCCCTGTAGCCTTTGACCTCCCGCCTCTGGGCCTCGGCCTCTTATTTTACCACCCCTCGGTTCTTCTCTCCTGGGGTTTTCCGCCCACCTGTGTGCGCCTCCCCTTGGATGCGAGTGAAGCGGGTACAGCTCGGTGTTGGGTTTTTCTAGAGACGTCCTGAGTGCTGGGATGCCTGCGAGGAGAACCCCCGAAGGAGAACTTGCGCGTTGGGTTAGAAACACTGGTGCATTCGCCCCTAAATCACCAGCAGACTGGGGGACTGACTAGCATTTATTCCTGTCCTGAAGGATCGTCGCCTTCCTTTGTCACAGAGGAAGAAAAGAATCTGAGGACTTAGGACACCCTGTCCCATTTCATTTTACATAGACAGTGGACACGCACAGCAGTTGTCCTCAAGGCCTGGTGTAATTTCAGAAATAACCAGCCCCCTCCCAAGAACCCTCAGTGCCCTGGAGAGAGATCGGAAAGCTTGCTGGCTGTTGACAGGAATTTCACTTTTAAAAGGATAATTCAAACTCCAGAGTCACAGAGTGCAACTTGAAGTTACGTTTGTATTTGTGGAGGTTGGATGTTGATTTAGTGTTGTAAAAGTTACCAAAGCATGGAATATAGCTTTTTGGAGTAAAAAAGCAAAATATATTCTATATCAATTCCTTGACTTCAGAGTCCTAATAGGAATGCGCACACCTATAGTTTTTCACAGTCAAAGCTAACTGCCAGGGGTGGGGTCTGGGTCGTTGAAAGATTTCCTGGTGCAGAAAAGAAAGTTAAGACACAGAACGGTTAAGCCACAATACTGGAAAGTTTAAAGGTGGGGAGAAATCTGTTTTTCTGACTCCAGTGCCTGCGCTCTTATCCCTTAGGCCAGCCTGCACTTTTTATATCACAAGTCTGCCCCACCACACTTAGGGACTAAAGGCACACTCCTGAATCGGGCAGTCAGAGGATGAGAAGGGCTTAAAGATGTTTGTTCTTTTCATTGAGGCCTAAACGGTTAGAGGAAGCATGAAAGAACTTGGTATGTTCTAGAAACTTCCAGAAGGATAGAGTGACTAGGGCTTGGGTGATTGGTTCAAGGGGAAACTGGAGAGCTGGCTGAGACCAGGTTGTACGAAGCTTTGCAGTCTGATGAGTACTTAAGATTTTCATGGAAAGCTGTGGGAAGCCACTCAGGGGTTTTAGGCAGGGGAGAAGCACGAAGTGACTCTGATGAAGCCCAGACAGAAGTCAACGGTGGCTCTGGTTAGGGTAGCGGTGGCAGAGACAGAGAAAATGGAGTTTTCAGACACCACTTTTGGTAGCACCTCCCTGACCGCTGGTCTAAAGTAGCACTTGCAGACCCTGGTCATCTCCACCCTACTCACTTTATTTTCCCCCCATATTGCTTTGTCCCCTAGGGGATCCTATATGCTTTATTTGTAAGTAATTATTTACTCCCTAGAATAAAAATGTCAAGTACTCAAGCATGGGGTTGGTGGTGCCTGTTTTGTTTACTACGATTTCTTCAGCAGCTGTTGATGCTCACGTCGTATGCAAAGTAGACTCTTAATACATATTTATCAAATGAATGGATTCATGTTAAATATTTTGGATCTGGATTTCGCAACTTGCTGATTATTGAATGTGAATGTGAGAAAAAAGGAAAAGTCAAAGATGGTTCTTAGTTTGCTGGCTTGAAAACTGAGTAGGTTGTCACTGCCAGTTATTAAACAAAGGAAGGTTAAAGAACAAATTGGGGCTCAGAGTCGGAGAGAACGTTCTCTTTGGTACATATTAAATCTGTATGGTGTGAATTAGTTAGCTATTGCTACATTTAAAAATTCCAAAAATTTAGCAGGTTAAACTGTTTATTGTCTCACAGTTTCTGGGGGTCTGAATGTTGGATGTGATTGAGTTGGTTGCTTCTGGTTAAAGTGTAGAAAGCTTACACCACAAGGCTGGAAAGTTTAAGGGTGGAAAAGATACATATTTTTTTCTGACTCCAAAGCCTGTGCCCTTAACCCTTAGGCCACCCTACACTTTGTATATCCCACATCTACCCCATGACCAATAGGAAATAAAAACCAGGGTCCTAGTCACAAGACGTGATAGGGGCTAAAGTAACTGCTTCTGAGTTCTTTCCCATGGTTGCTGATAAACTACATGGCTGTTGGCTGGAGACCTCAGCTCCTCGCTGTGTAGACCTCCCCACAGGGCTGATTACAATGTAGCTTCACCTAAGGTGAATGATCCAAGGGAGAAAGAGAGCCCAAGATGGAAGCTGTGGCCATTTTAGAGCCCAGACACAGAAGGGACATACTGTGGCTTATGCTGCTGGTCACACATCCCAGACTCAGTGCAGTGTGAGAGGGAGGCGCCCAGGGTATGAAAGCCAAGGAGCAGGAAGTTGAGGAAGGGCACTATCGAGGTTGCCTGTCCCTAAGTCTGGTGGCTGAGTTCTGGATGTGGTTTGTCCTCAGCAGTTCACATGGTAGAGGCCTGGTCCTCGATGTCACAGTAGTGAGAGACAGTGGAACTTTAAAGCGAGCAGCCTTCTGGGAGGGGATCAGATCACAGGGACACCACCTGGAAAGGCTTTAAGACCTGCTTACAGGAGTGTGTTAGTTCTTGTGGCACTAGAGAAGTCTGCACATTTCTGCACCCCCCCGCTGGTCCACTTGTCACAGCTGTTCCTGCTTTGAGATGCCACCTGCCACGTGACATAGCCAGAAGTCCTCACCAGAGGCTGGACAGGTGGAACCTCCTGGTCGTGGACTTTCAGGCTCTAAAACTATGGGCTAAGCCCATCTCGGTTTTTGTTGTTGTTAAGCAACACAGAAATGGACTAAGAACAAGAAACTGCCATATGAGCGGGAGTAAACAGACTGTAGCTTAGAAGGGGCATCTGGATAATTATGTGGGAGTCGCTGGTCAGGATACGTGAAGCTGTGAGAGATGGGTGCAAAGGCCCAGGGACAGAATATAAACGGAGAGCAAGACTTTGGACTCAGTTCCAAGGGGCCCAACATTTAGAGGCAGCAGAGAGGATCGGTTCAAAGCAAGACAGGAGGAAAACCAGGAAAGGGTATGTTCTGTGGGTAACTTACTAACAGCTAAGTTTCACTGTTCACGCTTTCCTTTCCCCAGAAAGGGCAGAAAACGCTTTTAATATGGCTGCAATGAAGAGCATTTCTGGGGGAAAAAAATAATGTAATTTGACTTGAAGTGGGAAGAGTTAAATTTTGAGCCAGATAGGACTGGAGAGAACATAAGAACACACAGACAGAGGGAATGGTTAGTCTCCGGAAGCACAGACCTGGGCACTTCTTCCCTTCCTGGTTGGGGGCTTGGCCATAGGTCGCTGTGGTTATAGTAAGTTGAGAATTCCTCTGCAGGTATTTTCAAGATTGCTCTTTTAACTCAGCTTGGAGATAAAATGGTGAACTCTGTGATACTGGATGAATGTGGACAGGGTCCACCCTTGCTTCCTTGTACTTTGAAGTATTAATCTACAAGGAGTCTTCCCTTCGAATGCCTTAATTATCCCAGTAAAACATATAAAGCACTTAGCAGCTGTACTAAAAGTTCCTGCTTAAACTTTACGCTCCCTCAGGGGCTCCGGGAACTTGACTGAAGGGGTTATTGAATATTTGCTTCCATACAGCAAATACGCTTCATCCTGTGTTCTTTATCACTTCTTTCTTGTGTATTTTCAATAGTATAGGTTTTTCCAGTAAGATTTTTATAATACCAGTCTCATGCATAGGGAGCTTATCTCAAGAAAGTAAGAGCAAAGAAAAGGAGAGAAATGAAAGATCTGGCTTCACCTGGCCACTTGACATAAAACGGGTTTGTGGTTCTGACTGTTTCATTTCTGCCTGCTCAATGTGGGGTCTCACCAAGTTGCCCAGGCTGGCCTCTAACTTGCAGTCCTTCCTGCCTCAGCCTCTGGAGTAGCTGGGATTGCAGGTGTGCACCAAAGCACATGACCAGCTTTGTGATTTTTCATCAGAAATGGCAAGAAAGGGCTGGGGGTTTAGCTCAGTAGTGCTGTGCCTGCCTTGTAAGCACAGGGTCCTCAGTTTGATCCCCGGTATAAAAAAAAAAAAAAAAAAACACCCCTAGATGCTTAATTATATTTTATGAGGGAGGTTGGTGTTAAAGTATAAAATCAATATATAAAGGGTCAGGAAAAGGTAGAGACTAAAATTTTCAAGTTTAGTTTGAGAAACTATATATGCGTGTGTGTGTGTGTGTGTGTGTGTGTGTATTGTTTTAATTTCGGTATACTGCCATGTTTTCCAAGATAGTGTTTACACGAGAGTTGTGAAGAGATGATTCTCACCAAATGTATTTATCAATGGATACATTTCAGAAGTTGGTTGGTTACCAAGGGACATTTGAAACGAACCATCCATACTCACCATTGACTAATTTCTTTTTCCATGCAGCATGAAAGAATATTTTAAATATGATTTTTCTGACTCCCTTTTTTCAGAACCAAGAGGATCAGACTTGGGTTTTGCTCTCAACATGATGGAGGAAGCATGTTCGCTCTTTTACTGTGGCTTAGACAGAAGTGAAGCCGGGAGCATTTTGCTTCGGGCAGAGCTGAGCAGCATTCTGAGGGCCACTGGCCATAAATCCAGGCTCCCCAGAGGATAACCATCAAAGTCCTCCCCTTGGCTCACTCTGTTGAGTGATATGATGATGATAGATTGCTTGGACAGGATGGCCCCAAGCCCTGGTGTGATGAATTATGTTGTTCAGGGCATGACCAAAGATTCTCTGTTGTCAGTCTGCCATACTGAGTATTGACAATATTCATAAATAGCCTTCTGCCAACCTGGGTCTCCGCTTTGCATATTAAATCCTTTATTTTCCCAGGTCCTGGGTTTTTAGATGCTAGTCATTTCTGTACTCCACTGAATTCACATAGCTAGTCAGCCTTTTATTTTATCTGCTCCATACTCATTAAAGGGGAGTGAGGTGTTTGCAGTTGTGTAAATACTGTCTTTGTAAAAACTGTTAAAATAGTAATTATTAGCCCTTTTCACTAAATCTGGACTAATGATGGCTTATTTTGCAGGGACTTAATAGGGTAATTACTTGGTGCAATATTTGAAAAGCACTTGGAACAGAAAATTGATAAATATTATTAATTTAATGTCCATTGGGTCCACAAAATCCTCAATACTATTGTGTACCAACAAAAATTTTCTTGATGTTGCTTGCTAGTAATATTTTAACAAATATTTTGAATATTGTCATAAACTCTCAAAGTTATCTCATTCTTACACTTGCACATTTTTACATGTCTCATTTATACCATAAACTAAATGGATTAAAATAACAGAAATTTGGTTAAAGAGATAGGAAACAATTGTCTATATGTCAGCAGAGTTAGCTTCTCATGAGGCCTCTCTCCTTGGTTTGCAGATGAAACACTGAAATAATGAAATAAAAACAGAAGCAACATTGTTAAACTGGATAGGTAAAGTTTATTATTAACCAGTAAATGTGCTTAACCAAATATAGCTTCCTGTCCAGAATACAGTCATCCAAATATTTCTTTAACAACTTGCAGCTATTTTTACTCGAAATTTGTACTCTGAATAAAAAACTTGCTGTGATTAGTCCTATCATCACATTATCAAAAAGGGCAGACAGCTATCGAGTATGCTGTGCTCCTGTCTCAGCTGTCCCCCTGGAAGATGGCATCATCACTGAAATATGTTGGGCATTACCGTCCCCTGTATTATCACCTGGGATTGTCTAAGGAAGCAGAAAAGTCCTTGCAGAAAGATGTGAGCCCAAGGACCTGGCGAAGTTCTTACATTCAAGGAAATACTGGGAAATGGGAGAGAATAAAAGAACAATTTCCCCATTATCAGTCCATATCTGCTGTGCATAGTAGTGTAGACTCGGGAAAGCTTTTCAATCCTTCAGAATAGAATCAGAGTTTTGTTTTGGTTTTTTTCAATCCTGAAAAAGAAATTTTTTTGTGGTAAATTACTAGCCAAAGCTCCTTAGAGGATTGCTATATGGGTAGGTAAGAGTCTGGTAGTAATATTCAAGGTAACTGATGAGTGGTTTTAATAAGTTGCAGAGCATTTTTCTCTTGTAAGACTATTGCAGATTGGAAGTTATTGTTCATGTTGCGTGGTGGATTCAGTATACCGTTCTTTCATTTGTGAGCTTTTGAAAATATCCATATGAGAAAGGCTTAAAACATTTTTAAAAAAGAAGAAATGAATAAATACATAGCCTCCTGTGAGACAGAATTTGACACGTTTTCAAGAACAGATTAAATGAGGTGCATATGCAGGTGTTAGACAATGTCCGTACAAGTAGAATGGCTCTACCAGTTGCTCTGCAGAAAAGTACTGTTGAAATGTGTATCAAAGGATGGCTGCAGAAGTGTCTGTCCTAGCTTTGGTCTGGATTATTTGAGACGTGTATTAGCATTCTCTCACATGTAATATGTCCAGTAGTCCCATGAGTCAGGGCTTTACAGCCTGTTAAGAGAGTTTCCTAGACTTCGAGGCTGCAGCCTCTGCAAGCTCAGTCTTTGACTTGGGATCCTGTTCATTTGCCAGAGCTGAAAACCACTGAATGCAAGAATTTAAGAAGGGACTAGTAACATGTATAGCTAAATGGATACACACTGAGGCGGTACTCTTAAGTGAGATAAATAGGACACACTTGAGTAAGCAGCAAATAGTTTCTCTGGTGTGAAAAACTAAAAGTGTGAGTAAGGTTCAAGTGGTATCATTGAGAGGGTGAAATAGGAAGAAAATGGCTAAAGGGGAAGTGGGAAGGGGAGGGGCAAGGAAATAAGGGAAAAGAAAAAACGTGAAAGAAGGGAAAAATGGAAACAAAGTCTTTGTAAATAGGGAAGGGTGAAGGGGTGAAGGGGGCAGGGGTGTGGGGAAAAAACGAGAACCAAGACACATCATGTGAAGGTACGAGAGCCCAGTGATGAATGTAACTGCACTGTTTGCTTTAAACGTACCAATAAACTGAATGAGGGGGGAAATAGAATGTAAGAAGGGGCCGCTTGCCTCCAATGCACTGTGCCTGGCTAGTGCCCGCTACCCGATAATTTCTATGAAAAGTCCTCTGCTGTTACAGGAGGCTGACATGAGGCAAGAGTGCGCTTCCGAAGAGTCATTCTCTACCTCCTGCGGTCAGTGCCTATCCAAGTTCTCTCAGCCTCCACCTCTAGGTCTGGAAACTATACCGTGGGTCTCCCTCACAGTCTCACCCGCGTCTCTGCACAGATCCCAGGCCGGATGCAGACTTTCTCTTATTTCTGCGCCACCTTGCTTGAACCTGCCCCCTCCCGTCATTCAGTGACGTGCACGTTCAAGGGCACCCTCTCCGTGTGTTGTGTGCCAAGGTCTTTGGCAGCAGCTCTGTGCATCCGTAGCGAAGAATCTGCTATTTCAAGTGTGTGCGGGGTTGGGGCTGAGCTTGCGGCCATATTCGGTCTGGCAGGATGCACATAAAGGAGAATGTTCTTGCGAATACAATTGCAATGCTCTGCTTTGACATTTCTCGTTCCTCTTAGGCTTATCATCCTTTCGCTTTTTGTCCATCAGTGTATTTGGCGAGAGGGATCAAAATAGGCCAAGCTAACAGTTTCAAGATGAAACGATCTCCAGGATGACTCTATTAAGGTCTATTGGCCTTGTGGATTTCCAATTTAATTCTTAGATTTGTAACTCATAAAAGAACATCTGTAGTTTCTTAGCATTTGCAATACTTCTTTGCTACTCATTATTTTCGCTGTTACCAAAGGATTAGTTTCTAAATTTCTTGATATTTTGAAAGACCAAATTAGGGTTATAAAAGATTTTATGTGGGATTTTCATAATGCTTTATGTTGTGACATTGTAATTTTTTTCCATGACCCTGTTTCCACTCTATTTGAATTTTTGTTAGTAATGCCTTGGCCAAAAATAAGTTTACATAACTTATTCCTCTATAATGTAACAATTTAATTTTTCACTTTGCTATATTTGTGGTGCTAAGTAGTGAATCCAAGGCCCCATGTGTGCTAAGACTGTGCTCTACCACTGA